GAGTCTCCATCTAAATATTTTTGAAAAATTTAGAAAACCTGTGACTCGTGCCAAAGCTCACTTGTCCATCATAACCAAAGTGTCCGGGCTCGAGAACTTAGGTATGAAAGTGGAAGGTCATGAATTGAACACCCCACTCACCCAATCAAAGATCAACCTCTACTAATCATGATGTGATTCTTATCAAAACTATATGCTCTTGTTCTAATTTTATTATGCTATCTTACTATGTGAGGCACATAAGTATAGACAGTTTCGCTTGCTTTGGAAATGACTTTGATTTTATGTGATTTTTGTAAAAGAGTTTTGAGTGTACACAACTCAAAAGGAAAGAAATGAGCTCACACATATATTTGATCAAAATCATCCCCAATGCAAGTAAAATAACCTTCATCCACAGGCATTCAAATAATTCATTTCGAGTAAGCACGTAGCCTCATGGTAAGATGCCAAACATGTCAACAATCATACACATGAATATGCTAAAGCCAAAAATACTCACCTAGTACTTCGAGGTAGCCAAAGAAAAAGAAACTGATTAAAAGAAAAAAAAAATGGATGGCCCTAACAATGCACATGACTAATGAACACATACAAGAATGTAACTATTAGGTTCGGCTATTTAACATGTAATATAGATTAACTCAAAACATGTGATAACGCACGCATTCAAGAAAATAGGTAATGACAATAATATTAAAAAATGATGAATCGAACCTTATGCATGCAAAATTGGATACAAAACATGGCAATGATATGAAACAAAAACATGACACTACATGCAACAACAGTAAGCATATAAATAAAAGGGAGAAAGAAACAGGGGTTAAAAGACATACAAATATTACAAATTTGCCCTTGCACAAGAGGGTCCAAATGAATGTCCTAATTAACTAATTATTATAAACACAAATGAATAAGCTATTTAATTAACTATTACCAATTTGAATGAAGGTAACTAATTAATTACAAATGAATCTCGAAGCTAATTTAATGGACTTAAACGGGAGGCGAGGAACCACATGTGCACAATCGAGAACACCCTCCGGAAACCTCGCTGTTTGCTGCCAGAACCTACTCTATTTAGAGTCAGAAAATTGTTCTATTTTGGCCTCAGGATCTGTTCTGTTCTGTTGCAAAATCACTACTGCCATATAAAATGGATGGCCGGCCGGCCTTATCAGATGGTCGACCATACAGAGTAATGGCCGGTCAGCCACTGTTTTTGAAGAATACCCTGTTACAACAGAGCTGGAACAGAGCAAGATAGAGTGTTTCCAGGAGGTGTTTATCCTCTCTGTCATTCCCTATCATGAAGATGTTCAAGGAAGGAGTAGATTCGATTCTCAAATCATCAATCATCGCAAATTTGTTGTGTAATGATCTTAGAAATGAGAGGACAAGAGTTTAGTAAATGTAACAAAAGATAAACAATACATCATCTGTATCATGGAATTACCAGGAAGAAGGGGGTAGACTTGCCTCATGAATCTTCAAACATCACTAAAATAGTATGTGATGATTCTAGAAGCATCATATTCAGTATAACGTCCGACTGAACCTAACCAATTTTTGTTATCTTTTTACCTCTTTTATTCCAATTTTATTAGCCTTTTTACTTTATCCTTTCATTTTCTTAACTTTTCTTCATTTTTGTCCAAAGCAATAAAGATTAGCAAGAATGACTTGACCCGAGAAATGAGCTCTTCGCGCCCTTTTTCTACGAGGGAAACTATAAAGGAAGAATCACACCCATTTACGAGCGCTAATGAATTTGGAGTCAAACCTGAAGTGAGCGATAATAACTCCAAATCCAAACCTGATAATGAGCTATAATGAATCTTTCCTTTATGATTTCCAAGGGTCTAAATGGAAAATTAGTCCCTTAGAAGTAATGCACCGATGATAAATGCAGGTATTGATCTAGAGATTGTGCTTAGCATAAGAAAGATGTGATGCCCTAGTAATGAACCTTCGAAGAGGTTAAATCATTTAGCATGTGAAACCCCTTTCTTATGCCGTGAGCGAAAATCTTTTGGTTGATACAACCCTCAATCAAAAGAAACAAAGAAATGAGGGAGGTTGCAGAGTGTGAATGAAAAGTGGATGATTACAATAACATGAATATATACATGAAAGATATGGAAAGGAAAACTATTAACTTAAATGAATTGGTTGCTATGGCCTATACACCAAACCCATGAGGACTTACAACAACGCAAGTATGATATTCGAAGAATAAATTAAATAGACACATTAAACAAGCCCTAAACTCAAGAAAACAGTGGCCAAAATCAAAAGAAACAAAGTAGAAAAGACAAAGCAACAAGCTATGGAACAAGACCTAAGGAAGGGTGGCTAACCCCTCTTCTTTTTGTGAGGTTTTAATCACATTTTAAGTTTAAAAATAACTTTGAAATCAATATGAAAGTACAAGGAAAAAATAGAGAAAAAGTGGTTGAAGAGTTCAAAGATTACCCCTGGAAAGAGAGGATGTTCTTCTTAGTTCACAAACCACACTCTTAACACTCTCTATGATCTGAAATTATCTTCAAGAACCTCAGCAAAAGCTTCAAGTTTAAGCTTATAAGGTGTATGTATATTGCAAGAGATGAGGGAAGTGTGTTGTGTATGCTATAGGCCCTTGGAAAATTTTTCTAACCCCTAACCATGAGGGGGGTGTTATATTTATAGAAAAATAGGTTCTCACATCGGAAATATCTGTATAAGGGGCAGCTGGTCCAAAGCATGTGCATAGGAGCAGCTGGCAGTTGTCAAAATATCTACCAGGCTGAACATGGCCGGCCAGCCATGAGAAGGTATGATAGGCCAAATGAAAATGGCCTGTTAACCATTTGTTAGCCAGCAGTTCTCTAAGTGGCCGGGCTAGAAAAAATAAGATTTTCGTCCAAAGGGAGTGCAAGGTTTAGGTTTTAAAGCTTGAAACCGAATCACTTTGAAGAATTGAACGATTGCACAACGTAATATTTCATCATTGAGTGTTCTGAGTGAGGTGCCCAAGTCTTAATGGCGGTCAAAATGGGGTGTCTATAGTCCTATGCCTTCTCCATCACCTCCTGTGGTGCTTCATCCATCCCTATCATCCTTTTCTCTAGCAAATCGTCATTTGACACAGGTAAAACAACCTTTTGTTCTTCTTCGTGATTATATTGTTGGTTCCACTGCTTTTTTTTCTTTCATGAGCCTACTTCCTATTATAAGGCTTGTTCTAACCCTCTTTGGCAACAAGCTATGAATAATGAACTATAGGCTTTGGATACCTAGAATGTGGTTGATCTTCATCTTAGAAAAAGTGTTGTTAGTTGCAAATGGGTGTATAAGATCAAAACTCATTTGGATCATTCCATTGAGCGTTACAAAGCTCATCTTGTTACCTGGTGATTCAGTCAAGAATATGGGATTGACTATGAGAAAACATTTGCTCATGTTGCCTGTCTTACTTCAATTCACAGCTTACTCGTAATTGATACTGCCTGCCACTGGAGTCTTTGTCAGATGGATATCAAGAACGTTTTTCTCAATGGTGATCTCACTGACGAGTTTATATGCAATATCCTCTTAGTTCTTCTATTCCATCTATCAAAGCCTACAAACTTCGTCATGCTTTGTATGATTTGAAACAAGCTCCTCGTGCCTGGTTTGCCAAGCTCAGTTCTACTATTCATGACTTTGGATTCTCTTCCAGTGCCTGTGATTCTACTTTGTTTATATGTAAGACAGAGTGTGGTACTATTCTTCTTCTTCTTCTCTATGTGGATGATATGATCATCACTAGGGATGACACAGTGGATATCTCTAGTCACAAACAGTTCCTCAGTCGCCAATTTGAGATGAAAGATTTGGGCTTGTTTAGCTACTTCATTAGCTTAGAAATTTCTCATGATCCTTCTAGTTACTTTCTCACCCAAGCCATGTATAGCTCTAATCTATTGACTCGTGCTGGTCTTACCGATTGCAAGACTGCTACTACTCTAGTTGATCCTCAGACTTGTCTCACACCTCTTGACAACCATCTGTTGTCTGATGCTACTTTATATTGTTAGGAGGTTGGCAGTCTTGTCTATCTTATGGTTACTCATCCAGACATTGCCTATCCTGTTCACATTGTCAGTCAGTTCATGGTTGCTCCTCGATCTCCATACTATAATGCGCTGGTTCGCATTTGCCGATATCTTAAAGGCACTAGGTTTCATGGTCTTTACTACTTAGCACACTTTTCTCTACAGTTACATGCATTCTCTGATGTAGATTGGGTAAGGGATCTTACTGACCGCCGTTCTACGACAAGGTTCTGTTTCTTCTTGGGTGATTCTCTCATTACCTAGCATAGCAAGAAGCAACTTGTTCTAGTACTGAGGCTGAGTATCGTGCCCTTACAAACACTACTCAAGAGCTAGTGTGGTTTTGTTGGCTTATTTCTGATATGGGATTTTCTCATTCTGCTCCAACCAACCTATACTGTGATAATCAAAATGCTATTTAGATTGCACATAATAATGTCTTCCATGATCACACCAAGTATATTGAGATTGATTGTCACTTCATACGACAACATGCTACGAGTGACACTTTCCGTCTTATCTTTGTTACCTCTGCCGATCAGACAGCTAACATCTTCACCAAAGCTTATCCTCTTGGACGCTTTTCTAATTTACTTTCGAGGCTCAACTTTATATCTGCATTACCACCTTGAGCTTGAAGGGAGGGGGGTGGTGGGTGTTAATTATGGTATATATTCTTTGTATATTTACATACCTTTCTTGTGTATTACCATAGTTAGCTTCTTCTCTCCTATATAAAGGAGTTTGTACCTATTTATTATCATTCAATTCAATATAAGAGTTTCTCTTTTCTCTTCTCTCTCTACTCTCGTAACAATAGAATTCTTAGAATTCTTGGACAACTCTCTCTACTCTCGTAACAATAGAATTCTTAGAATTCTTGGACAAACAAAGTAAGGGCAAAAAAAAAAAAAACTCTTAGATGGAAGATGAGCTCGTCAGTCATATCTCTCGGAGGTCGATTGATATACCTAAAGCTAATTATCGGGTAAGTAGAATTGAATTCTCCACGTGGTTTTGTGTAGCACATGGGGATAGTAAATAACATCTGGTTGCTTACTGCAACTGAAAATTTTGCAGGATGACCTGTCTATTGATGAGTGGAAGCTGGTTGTGAAACTGAAAAACCTCTTCAAGATACAATAAAATTAGTTTTGAACTTTCGACTTATTGGTGAAGAAGTTCATCATTTCAGATATGATCAAGGGCTATCGGAACTGCGCCTGTGTATTGTGAAGAGACTGAGGTTCTTTTTGGGCGGGAATGAGTTGTGTCTTGAACAAGATAGATTGGAAGTGTGACAGGTATTTATGAAGGGATAGTATATGGTAAAATTCATACCCAATTTTGTTTCCCTTTCTTTACAATCACAACAAAGTCAACCTTCCTTGCTATTTGTTTTTTTCTTTTTTTGTGGGTATTTTGTTAAGTTTTATTGCTGTGATCATAAACAAGGTTCTTTGTATGAAAGCAATGCAGTAGTACAAAGATGAGAGTAATATGATATAGCTGTCAGAAGATGGCTTAACATCTGTGTCTTCTAAGCACTTTAACGATTCTTTTCTATACGTTAAGCAATCATTGAATTCTTCATTTTGTTCTGTTTCTTGATTTCATTTTGTCAGTTACCAAGACCTTGCATATTTGACTCCCACCAGTTTTTCTCTATCTTGGCCAACTGATGATGTAGAATTTTGCCTTAAAAAATTCCAGCAGAAGGCTTGGATCCCATTGTTTGGGTGGCTCTTTGTAGTACACACTGCATTTGGTTCAATTTTCTTTAGTTACTTTAGAATTAGTAACATTATAGGAAATGGGGATCAATTTCTTTTTTCATTTTGGAAAGGAAACCTAAGGGTATAAAAGTTCATTGATAATGGTGGTCAGGGATGCTAAATCCCTGTTTTTGGTCTTTTAATTGGGTGAAGCTGGAGTTGCCAAAATCTTGCTTGGTGATCAAATTTTGAAAATGTTAGGGCATTTTTGGGGTGAAAATATTTTTGGATTTACCCTTGATTAAACCATGAAAAAAATTATTAAATAGTCCTAGAATAATATGGTGTTGCCTAGTGCAGCTTATAGTGTTGTTTATAATTTATAATTTGTAAATTTTATTTTGGAAGCTTTGGTGTACCTTTGTTCATAGTTTATAAGGTAGAAACAACTTACATAAGTGAAAAAGCTGAATATCTAGAAACTGGGAAAATGAGTGTTATGGTTATATTTTTTGATTATCAATTTGTTGCTTGGGAAAAGTTGTACCAAACTGGCCATATATTGCTTATGAGTGTTCTTAATAAATGGGGAACTGTAAAATAAATCAGGTGGTCTTCTTTGTCTTTTAACTACCTAACAAAGATAGATCAATATTGTCCTAGTTTTCGCTACATTATTGATTTGGAGGGGATAATATTGCATGGTAAGATTATTGAATAATTACCTTCGAAACATATATCTCTTTTCTTTTCTTTGGATATCATGCTCCAAATCCAATATCCAAATGACCATGATAAAACTAACGCCGCTAAATATATAATAAAAAAAATTAAAAAATTATCCAAAAAGTAAACTAATGAATTACATTCATTAAGAGTGTGGTTCATATTTTATTAATATTAGATCGTACACCTCACTTTTGTAGTTGATTTTGAGATAAATATTTGTGGTATATAGCATTTTGGAGAAACTAAACATACAAGATTTCATTACAGCCCACTTGAACTAATAAGCGTTGTCAATCCAAAGACTATGGCCATAGCTAATCACCCTCCAACTAAGACTTCCACAATAGACATAGCTGGTGGTGCCCTCCCTAACACAATCCAACCATGCAAACACCACCACACCCATGCTCACTACTCCAACCACCAACCCCTACTCTCACCTTGTACTCTCTTACAATTGATGCTTCTAGTGATGGCACCATTGCCCCCACTGAAAATGCGAAAGCCGAAGCTGCAGCCGCCTGCATTAGACTTGATCCTCACTCGTTTTTTTCTTCTCACTGTCTCCTCTTTTCTTGCCCCTCTTCATTTGAGCCACTTCTATGTCAAGTTGAGAGTAAACGGAGACAAACTTTCCGATGACAATGCTACAAGCACCGGCCACTAAACCGGCAAAGCCGGTTAAGATAATGGCCTTAATGTCTTGTTTGATAGCTCCAACACCCATCATTAAAGAGGCAGTGAAGACCAACCCGTTGTTGGCTGCTAGGAGCGTTGGGCAGAGCCATTAGGACCTTTTAATTTTTTTTTTTCTGGTTCTAGGTGGTTTGTTGCTCAAGATCAAGAATGAGGGTTGACATGTTGGAGTTATGAAGAGATGTTTTGTTGGAAGCCATGAATGTAGAAGGAAGGCAATCATGAGAGTTGATGAGGAAGAAGATGATGAGGAAGAAGAAGAGATATGGAGGTGTGGTGGACACTCTTTGAAGGTGGTGGGTTTTTTTTTTTTTTTCTTTTTTTTTAAAAAATAATAAGTAGAGAATTCTATTGAGGTGGGGCTTGGCCACTAATGCAAACAAATATGGTAATGATATAAACATAATTTATTTTTTTTTACAAAATTTCGATATTGAATGAAGTGTCTTTGAGAGTTTCTATATTCGCACACCAAAAATGTTCAATTGACACACTTAGTATAGATATATATTTTTAATTACAATTTTATCCCATAATCAAATTAATCTTTTGGACAATACTCTAAAATCTATCAACTTTGCTCCATTATATGGAAAAAGATTATAAGTCTTTGTAAATTAAGTGACTTAAAAGCCCAATGTACCTTAATTGTAATTGAATTAAGCCCTAGAATGTTCTATATATGTTTTTGAGAGCTTATAAGGGGAGGTCGAATTCCAAATCCTCTCTCTCTCTCATCACTTAGAGGCACATGTGGATACATACTCATATATGGTTCAAAACAATTGGTCACTTCTTAGGCTGTGTTTAAATCTATTTGTTGGCTTGATAAAATTGGTCATCCATTAAAGTTATGTTTAAATCTATTTATTTGGCTCGATAAAAGTTCGTTCAAAATTTGTTTATGTAAACAAACAAAACTTGAGCATATTTTGAATATTGTAAAATTTTTTTAGCTCAAATTGAACTCAACTTAAAAAAAAATATATACATTACAAAAAATCAAACTATTCAAACTTAATTCATAGTCATCTCAAATAAAGTTTACTTGAGATCATTTCAAAAAATAAACAAATTAACAATCGGCTACGTTTATAGCCTTGTTAATCAAAATTGAGAAATGTGAGCCCCATAAAACCCATACCTACAAAACTGATAAAAAAAGAATGGATTGCTGAAGAGGAAAAGCACAAAAAGTAGTGAGAGAGGAAGGGTTGGAAAGGAGATAATATAAGTGAATTGTCTTTATTCAATCCAAATACAATTGTATATATTCACAAAAAGATCGTACACAAGCTTTATTGAGATTTATCATTTTTAAATACTGTGTTCATTAGTGACCTCCTAATTACAATGTCATTGACACTGAGCTGCTATGGCATCTAATTGTTAACAGGGAAGTTACTTCCAAAAGGATTAAGATCAAGCAGAAATGATTAATGTTCCTATTTTGGTTTGCTGAATTAATTTTTTAGTTTATTCATATGCATCAGTAGTTTTTGGATTAATTTGTGTTTTTATTTTTCAGGTCAGAAATATTTTGGAGAGATGCAAAATATGGTCCAAGAATTAAAGAACTTAGTTTTTTAAGTTTTTTTATTTTTTAATATATGTAAGCACAGTTAATTTTTTTTATTTAATTCCTTTGTATATACTTTTAAATATTTAATTTTCATTTATGAAATATATGACGTTATTCTATTCAATATGTGGTTATGATTCAAAATATAGTATATAGTGTGTATTACATTCGTCAAATGTGCATACAAAAATAATATTGATTATTTTTCAAATATGTCGAATCCTTTTTTTATTACAGATTTTATTAGTTATTAATCACACATAAAAGGTGTGATCTAAATATTGTTAAGCACACTTAAAAAGTGTGATTAAAAACTTTTAAAGATCACACTTAAAAGGTGTGATCTAAATGTTATTAATCACACTTAAAAAGTGTGATTAAAAATGGTAATTTTTAATCACACTTCCAAAGATCACACTTAAAAGGTGTGATCTAAATGTTATTAATCACACTTAAAAAGTGTGATTAAAAATGGTTATAGATCACACTTAAAAGGTGTGATCTAAATGTTATTAAGCACACTTAAAAAGTGTGATTAAAAACTTTTAAAGATCACACTTAAAAGGTGTGATCTAAATGTTATTAAGCACACTTAAAAAGTGTGATTAAAAACTTTTAAAGATCACACTTAAAAGGTGTGATCTAAATGTTATTAAGCACACTTAAAAAGTGTGATTAAAAATGACCATTTTTAATCACACTCCCAAAGATCACACTTTAATAAAACTTAAAAGGTGTGATTAAATAACATACATCACACCAAAAAAGTGTGATCTTTATCTGTTTTTGTAGTAGTGCGTTTAAATATTCCTATGAGAAAGTATTTTATAAGTGTTTAGAAAGTTGTTATTTTAGTAAATTTTTAACTATTTTAATAAGTTAAAATTTTTGTATTTAGAAGATGATTAGATTTTTTTGTAATTAGATATGATGTTTGTGAGAGAAAAAATAAAATGATTACGGGATATTTTTTCTCTCACAAACATCATATCTAATTATAAAAAAATCTAATCATCTTCCTAAATACAAAAATTTTAACCTACTAAAATAGCTAAAAACTTACTAAAATGATTATGAATTTAATATGATATTATCTTATTAACTATTTTAATATATTTTATCTTTTTATGGATTTTAGCCTAAATTAGGCTAAAATAATATATTATGTAGTCAAATTGACACAGTGTATTCTTCTATTTATTATTTATAATTGGGGTATTTGACAAGTTGGATTTTATTAACTTTTTTTTGGCTAAAATTCAGGTCTCGTTTGGAAACAGATTAATTTAGTAATTTTTTGACTATTTAGCTAAAATATGAGCTAAAAACAACTAGTATGTTTGGGATGACTTTTTGGCTTTTTACGAAAAGATGTGTAAAAAGTAGAGAGAAAAGAGAATCTTTGACTTTTTGGTATGGGTTGTTGACTTTTTGGCTAATTTAATAACTTTTTAACTTTTTGACTAAAAATGAGGATTTCCAAACGAGGCCTCAGAAAAAGAAAAAATAAGCTAAAATAGTTAATAAAAAAAATATCACATCAAATCGGTACATATAGCATTATTCAATTCATAATCATTTCACTTTTTCTCTCACAAATATCACATCCAACTACAAAAAAATTTAATCATCTTTCTAAACACAAAAATTTTAACCTACTAAATATTCAAAAACTAAAATAACCTACTAAAATAACAACTCCTTAAACACCCACAATATATAAAAGTGTGAGTTAAAAAATTACTTTGTGCTCGGCTTGACATGCTAATGTTTAATCACATTAAACTCTAACACTACTTTTTATCACATTAATCAATCACATAACATATCCGTTACATAAAATATTTTCTGATAAAATACATAGAACCTAAAGA